CTTCATAATTTCTTCCACAGGTCTCCAGTGTTGAGGCGTCAAGCTCTGTTGGCAAGTAGCTGCTCTCAGTTGGAGTTCCTAGCAGGATCTCAGCATTCCTCCATCCCAGAAATCCGAGTTCGGCCCTGCACACCTTCCCGACGGGACTCCTCATCTGCATTTAGTAACCCACCTACCACAGCCCCAACAGGTCCTGCTCAAGACCGGCCGGACCACACAGTACTTCCGCGGCCAGGTTTACGCGAGCAAATTGGAAATGATAGAAAAGACAGCAACAGCTTCTTACCTCTCATGAGGTCACACAGTGAACCAGGACTCAGCTCTTCAACTGACACAGGTATGAACATGTATATGTAACAGATTACAGTTGTCTGGGATTTATGTGAAAACATGAATTTGTGTTTGCCTCTGTGTTACTCTGTTTTCTTTGAAGCACTCCGCAGAATGACGATAACGTGTTTGTGCTCTTCTCTTCTCAGGTGATTTCAGTCTCTCAGGAGGCAATAAAGGAGTCAGTGAGGGGGGATCGCAGACCTCATCAGAAACAGGTAAGAGATGTTTCTATATAGGATTATTATGTTTCAGAGTAAAACAGTGTTATTTTAGTTTTTTTTTTTGTACTATTATAGTTTTTAATAATATATTTTTTACATTTTTAGTTTTTATTTATATTTTACTTTTACATTTTCAGTTGTTATTTTACATGTAATTAAAATTTTAGGAATGTTGATATGGACTGTAATTTTGGTCATTGTCATTTTTATTTTGTTTGACTTTTTTATTTCAGTTTTAGTTTTAATTCAGTTTTAGGTTTTATTTTATTTATTGCTTCATCTTAAACTTATTTCATTTAGTAGAATTTTCATTTAGTTTTAGTTTATATACAGCTTTATTTTACTTTTAACTTTTTTAGTAACCACGGTAAAACGTAATAAATGTACATTTTAATATTGTGAGAAATCACATCAAGTTCATGTGAAGTTCCAGAACTCATCACTTGCTCTCTGTTTACAAAAAAAAAAATTGAGACTGAGTTTATTCTAATATATTCTTGGAAGCTCAGATCTTTACTTTTTTAATGCATGACCACCCAAATTTATATGTCAGAAACCGCTATTGTTGTTTAGTAACTTGACCCATTCAGTCACAGTGAGGTAGTAAGGAGGAAGCTGGACAAAAAAGCTATCATACCTAAACACGAGAACAGTGATAAGAATAAAATGTGGTCAAGTATGTCAGACTTTTTGGTTGGAAGAAACCAAACTTACAAACAACCATCTGTTTTAGTTTTAATTTAAACAATTTAAAATGAACAATTAATTGCAAAGGTAAAACTAATAAAAATGACAAAATCACATAACAACATAACTCAAACTTGAACTAAAATAAAAAAAATTGAAAATATAAAAGCTAATTTGAAACAAATCATTAATAAATACTATAATAACATATAAATAATAATAAAATCATTATTTTATACATTTATTCTTTTAATAATCTGTTTCCCTGCTCACTATATTTGAATAATTTGGTTTGTTTGTATCTCCTTTGTGGCGTAGGGGTATTGTCTGGAGCTGGTTTGCTGCCTCGCTCCTCTCTGGCACTTCCTGCTTCCCTGCCCAGAAAAGACAGCATTAAGGCTATAAGTAGCCGGTTGCCCTCAAAACAAGTCCCAGCCACCTCGCTGCGTTTACCCAAAGACTGTGCACGCTCACTTGGAGACCTCAAGGTTAGTCTTTTTGATGCCTAGGACCCCAAAATCAGTCAATCCCCCTTTTCTTCCCAATATTAATAATGTTAAATGTATAAACAATCATTTTCCATTTAAATTCAGGTCACCAAAGTTTTAGTGCAACGTTTCCTGCAGAGATCCAAACGTAACTTAGCCCCTGCAACTGAGCATACCGGAAACTGTACTCAGGGGCCTAAAAGGAGGACAGCAGGCGATGGAAGTCTGCCGTTAGAACAGGTAAAACATTGCCAATACCATAAATGAAATCATTTAGTTCAGCTAGAATTCTGTGTAGGTCAATTTAGTACAAAATAACCCATAACATGTTTCTATGAAGGTACTTCGTAACTCTCTGGGGGCCAACAGGGGGCAGCAGCAGCACGTCCACCACTACTGCCGTGGACACCATCACTCCTATAGTGACAGTCGCCATAATGCCCGCCGCCATGATGACGACCCTGTAAGGGCCGGGGGAATCCACTTGCGTAGCTGCGGAGATCTCAGCTCGACATCCGTTGCATCACTGCGCAGAATCCACCCACCGTCGCAAGAATCATCAGGAGCTCTTTACTCAGAATCTGCCCTCTGAAATGGGGTGAGGGACTCTGGAATAAATCACAGCTGAATTCAGGAGAGGGGGCAGAGAAAATCTGAGGAAAGAATAACAGGTTTAAGATGAGGAATTTATCCTGCTGAAGGGATGATGTGAAGCATGCTGTTTGAAAAACAGTATATGTACCTTTGGTGAAGATTTTAGCTGTTCTTACCATAATAAGACCGAACACTACACCCGATATAACAGAGTTTAACCCATCAGACCCTCTGCTCTCTGTGCCTGACAAACTCCGGTCTTTCTGTTTTGTATTTCCATGTATTTTTTGCTACATCTAGTGCTTTTTTCTAGTGCACTCACTGTTTACATGGATATGGAAAGAATGAACACTGTTCCTGGTCTTCACAGCTCATTACAATGCACTCATGCAACTACAAACATACAACCCTATGTTTGGCTGTAACTATGTTGTGAACTTGGGGGAATTGAAAGGAATAATTAAAGGAATTAAATGGATTTAAGGGAATACACAAAAAGAAAAAGAACAGTAAAAGAAGCAGGATAAAAGTATTTGTAAAGTATCAGTTCAATTTGACTTATTTGCAAATAGTATGTTAATTTAAAATAGGTACACATTCATTTTTTTTGTATGCCTAATATGTCGAAAATGTAAAATGGTTTCATATCTTGTCACATTCAATTATGCATTACTTGAATCACACAAATGATTCAGCCTACATTTTCAATTCAAAATGGCGAAATTTAACAAAAATTTAAGTAGTTTGCATATCACTGTCAGACATTTAGCATTTTTGTCTTAAAACAGTTGTCAGATAGTAAATGGTTAACTACTTACAACTTACCTCGCATTCTTTCACTGTCAAAGACTGAAGCATTACGCTGGAATTCATGTTCGGTCTCTGTGAACAGTAAAACCTGCCTTCTTGGTTTTGAAATGTCATCTCAATCATTTTGACACTGATGAGAGCTGTTAGACCGTTTCAGGCAGACCAGCCTAAATTGTAATGTTTTAAAATGTTTTGTCATCCTAACAACAAACAGAGCAACATAAAGAATATCAAATATTGGGAGGGACAATTTGGCCATTTCTAAATATTGGATTGTGGGTGTCTATGATGGTTACGGCCCTGCAAATATACACATGCAATAAAATGCATGACCACACACACTCAAATGTGGTGTTAACTCTTTTGTAAGGAGCCACTGAACGCTTTTCACTAAACACTTTTCACTAATTGACCATCTCGCAAAGTGTAGCTAATTAATTCTAACATCATCTGAGCAGCTGCAACAGCTGAGGTTGATGCAGCAATGGATTCATTGTCTTTTTTTGGTAGAAGTGCATGTTTTTTCTAAAACAACTAAGATAATTCAATTGGAGCTTTGATCTTTTGCATCTGTCTGTCTCTCGTGGCAGACTCTAGCTTCCCAGCCTGTGTAATACTTTCCTAGAATGCCTCTGCATGTATTGAGCAGGCTTGTTTTCTCTTTTTGATTGAACACCAAATGCACTAACACACACAGATACACAAACATGCTTGTGACAAAACTAGATGCCACTAATGCAAAGAAATGTTTGAGGGGATTTTGGATTTTATAATACAGAAGATTCTCTGGCAATAAGCATACTGTAGATATTGAACTATTACAGGACATTGGGACCTTGTATTGAGTGATACCTATGAAAACTGAACGCTCACTGGAAGTGAGACGATGAACCAAGTCAAACTGATATGTTCAAGGATTTTACAATGTTCCGGACAGTTTGGGAATAATACTTTGGAAAGACAGCCATGGACTTCTGGTGTATCTACTTTGTTGTATTCGGAAATGGAATAATTGCAGTTGTCAATTGTTTAGAAGTGCTTTGGAATGCTAGCTAATGGCTTTGAATCAGTAGCAATGTTGCTAAATAATGCATTAATACAATTGCTCTGTATGTAAATAATTTTGATGCACGGACCCTCACGCTCACACACATTCTGCAACTTTGAAGCACTGAAACCAAGTCTGAAAAAGCTTGATATTCTACCTCTTGTATTGCATACACTGACATGTTACGGCCCAGTGGAATATTTTAATTAATTTAAGGATTTTATGGACTATTTATGAAACAACTTCTACACTGACTGATGAAAACACTGTTATTCTGGGAATATGATGCCTAAAAAGAACATTTAAAACAGCTTTACTTCATGAATTTTTAATGCAAGTTATGTAAAATCACAACAATAAATGTATACACATCAAATTTATCAAATCATCTATATCAGTTTCATGTTCTCAGGTGTTATCTCCACTTTTTCAACACTGAAAAATATACATTTAGATTTTTTTTCATTGGTAAGAAGTAGTGTCTGATTTGTGAATAAATTGCTCTTCAGAGTCATGTCTTTTAAATGAATCGGTTGAACTGGTTCACCCTTGCTGAAGCTAGAGCTCAATTGGGCGGAACCAGGGCTTCTCTAGACAGAAAGGAATTCACACAGAAATTCGATTTAATTAATTTGTTATTACCTTTTAATTTACCCTGTGCTGAACAAAATGTTCACAAATCACTGTTTAAAAGTGATTAAAAGTATAATGAAATGTAATGTGTGCCAGTGTGAAATAAGAATGACGTAATTACGTCAGGACGCTAAGAATCTGTTCTTTGAAACGAACGGCTCGAAAGAACCGATTCGCTGAAATGAGTTGAGCGTTAAACCTCCCATTTAATGCATGTAGTACTTTTATTTTGAAACTGAAGTTTCTTACGTCGCACATGAAGATGTAAGTGTTGCGCGCCAGTTCGTACAGTTCAGTCACAGCCACATTATAACATTCGATAAGTATTGATTCGATAGAAAGCGACAAGTATAGGAATGTGGAAACTGCAGCCGACCGAGTCTGGAGGTAATGTTTCCTGTGCACAATGAGTCGGTTATTGATTGTTTTAGTGTACTGCGCGGCAGTACGTAACCCAGACCAACTGCAAACCAGCTGTAAAGTAATAACAATGCTCATGTAATGTATTCCTATTTACATAACGCGTTTCTCTTTAGGGAATGACTTCTAAGGCCTTTATACGGCTTTAACTGAGTCACAAGGCGTTAATTTCTTTAGTTAAACACTGTTTTATACTGTAATTGTTGTCATACATGGAGAGGCTGTGTCATGACATTCAGCATGCTAACATCAGATTTTACTAGTTAAGTTGGTGAGTGTTTGTTTTGTTCCTGGTCACGATTCTAACTTGAGTTGAAATTACTCCTTTTTTTAGTAAGACCCAGTAGAAATGTTAAATACATTGTAATCTATTTTATAATGCGAATCAACCAGAATTACTATTCAAAACTGGGCTCTTGGTTTCACCCTTGTCACAAATGACATTTTGCATTTATTGTGATCACGATTTACTATAAAAGACATAGTCCACACAAAAAATTTTAAAACTCGTCATTTACATAATTTAAACCAATTTAAAAAAACTTATCAATTTCAAACTCATCATTTACTTAATTTAATTCATAATAATTTAGTTTGGGAATAATACTTTGGAAAGACAGCCATGGACTTCTGGTGTATCTGCTTTGTTGTATTCGGAAATGGAATAATTGCAGTTGTCAATTGTTTAGAAGTGGTTTGGAATGCTAGCTAATGGCTTTGAATCAGTAGCAATGTTGCTAAATGATGCATTAATACAATTGCTCTGTATGTAAATAATTTTGATGCACGGACCCTCACGCTCACACACATTCTGCAACTTTGAAGCACTGAAACCAAGTCTGAAAAAGAGCTTGATATTCTACCTCTTGTATTGCATACACTGACATGTTATGGCCCAGTGGAATATTTTAATTAATTTAAGGATTTTATGAAAAAAAAAAATTCAAACTCATCATTTACCTACCCTCATGTCATTATTGCTTTCTTTCTTCTGTGGAACACAAAAGAAGATATTTTGAAGAATGTTGGTAACCAAGCCGTTTTGGTTCCCATTGACTTCCATATATTTTTTGAACCATACAATGGAAGTCAATGGGAACTGGAGCTGCTTGGTTACCAACATTCTTCAAAATATCTTCTTTTGTATTCCAGAGCCTGTTTTACATGCTTCATTTTTATGGAGCTTTGACACAGACATCATCTTTCTGAGAGGTGTAAAGACATTCACATGAAATCAAGACTGTTTTTTAATAATATTTATAGGCAGATTTTGTCATATAATAGTAGAAGACTCATAAAGAAATCCCCCAAATTTCCAGTAATTAGTATCTGTATATGTTGGGATGCTTTAATTCATTCCAGGCCTTTTTGTTTGTGAAGGGGAAAGTATCGTTCTGCTGCCGGTTCAGGAGTATGTGGTCGGCCGTAAGAACTGTGAGATCTTGCTGTCCAATGATCAGTCCATCAGCCGTGTGCATGCCAACCTCACCGTCACTGAGCAGGTGAGTAACTCTCCTCGTGAGCATCTCCATATTATGTTGCCTAAGAAACAAAAGCCATCTTCCATGAAGTGGTGTTTGGTGTCCCACTATGATTGCTTTTGTACTTTGTTTCATTGTCATTCTTATACATTATCTAACAAACCACAATGAGAGCTTCTAAGATAGGAGAATGCATTAACAGCACTTTTTTTTAACATGCCTTTGACTTTTGTGTTGTTAACAAAAGTCATCTTGGCTGTTTTTCCTTGGCTCTCTTAGAGCCTGTCCATAAATATCTTATGTTGCTTAATAAGACTGTCTCAAAGGCAGTCCTGTGGGAAGTATTTCACAAAGTAATCACATTTTAATTTACTAATTGTTTTTTATTATTTTGCTGATTACTTAGCAGAACTGCAATCATGTGCGTCATTATTTCCCTTAGTCACTTTTACTTTGAATACAGTAAGTCATTCTTGCTGTGAAATACTTATTTAAATTCAGGATGCAAAAAAATTATATTTGTATATTACTAATAACGTCTTGGAAAGTTTTGAAAAAAAAAAAAGAAGTCATAACTGAGAATATTGAACATTTTATTAGGAATCTTTTAGGAACTTGTTCAATATACAATTATATTAAAATAGCCAAAATAGGACAAACGTTCACGTGTCCATGTTACTCATTTTAGTGCTTTGAAAGATCATTTGTCATCTTTTAAATAATTGAGGGGGTCTTGTGCTGTAGGAAACCAGTTAAAACTAGGCATGTGACATTATCACATTTTTATATCACTATAATTGCTGAAGCTTTTATCAAATTAAATTACATTATAGGCTGAAAAGATGAGCAAACTTCAGTGCTGTCCTCTTAATAACAAGTTTATTAACTTTTTTCCAAATGACAAAAAGAACCTTTAATATTTAAATACAATAAAACAGTACACAATAAAAATGTAAAAAAGTAAATTAAGGTTCCAGACTGATTAAAGTGTAAAAGAGCACAACTGTGAGAAATTATAATAAAGAATGAGAACATTTTCAGCAAATAACTAGATACCTTTTCTGGGTTGCTTTTTTTATTCCATATTAAAATGTAAAAAAATATATAATTAATGTAAATACACAGTAAGTATTTAACTGTTTGCTGTTAGAGAAACACCATAGCGAATACAAAATTGATTGACTGTTTAAAAACATTAAAAAATACTGTTTGATTTCCGTACTTTTCCACAGTAAGCGGGTGTCAGAAATATTAAGTTGGGCAGTCCTTTGTGTACTATAGTAACCATTTCTGTAAGTGCCACCTACTTTCAGAGAGTAAATCTGAGTCCGTTACACAGCTCTGTGTTGTAAATTTTGACCACTTGATGGAAAAGATGCTAATATGCTTTTTAAAAATAGAAACAATTCAGATTATAAGGTAGCTACAGTTATTCACTGTATTTTGAAGTACTGACTATAATGATACCATGCATGTTCATTATTGCAATATACCATATTACCAAATAAAACCACACATCTAGTTAAAACTATTAAACTTGTTAATCCTGACACTATCAAATTACTAATCCAATTTTGTTTGTACAGGTTTGTCAAGTCTATTTATTCTTAAAATGGTATTGCATTCTGTAAATGCGTGTTTGCAGGTATCATGCCCTAGATGGCCCTGTTTCCTTTACTGCTGTATTTTGGATGGATTATCATTAGTTCATAGTGGTTTCTCGTCCAACTAGCTGACAGGGTGTTTTCTTGTTTTTATGCTGTTGGCAGGCGGTCACTCTAAAAGACAGCTCTAAATATGGCACTTTCATCAATGGTGAGAAGCTTGCGACCGGCTCCACAAAGATCCTGCAGACAGGAGACAAAATCACATTTGGAGTCTTTCAGAGCAAGTTCAGGTTTGTATGGAGCTACGCATTCCTGTGTGTTATGTGAGGATGCTTTAGAAGCAGTTTATAGTGGTAAAGGAATGGTTGAGCCAACAATTAAAAAATGTACCCTCATGTTGTTCCAAACACCTGTGGCATTATTTTAGTGCAGTACAAATGAAGAACATTTTAATTATGTACTGGTCATTTTTTGTTTATTACTACAATGAATGACTATTGACATTCACAAATCTGACATTGTTGCTCTATTTTTTTGTTTTATGCTGTTGTCTCATTTTTCCTGTGTGTGTGTTTTAGCATCGTTTAGATATTCTGAATTTATATTTTATGAAGCTGATAATAATAATCACCCTTTTTCCCCACTCAGTTTGGAGAAAGAGTGTGTTGTGGTGTGTTCCTCATGTGTCGATAATGAAAGGAAAGCCTCCCTCTCTCAAGATTTGCGCTCTATTGGGGGGCGACTTGTCAACTCCTGGACACTTGACTGCACTCACCTTGTCATGCCCACAGTAAAGGTCACCATAAAGGTCAGGAGGCCATTGACCGCTTCAGCATATCATTTGATCCTGGAGTTCCCTGATTAACTGCCAATGAACCTTAATGGTACACTTAAACATCTGCTGAATCATTGTCTCTCTCTTTGCAGACAATCTGTGCATTGCTGTGCTGTCGGCCCATAGTGAAACCTGAATTCTTCAGTGCATTTAGCAGAGCTGTGCAGCAGAAGCTCCCACTGCCTAAAGCCGAGAAGTATGGAGTGTCTCTTTTTCTCTCTCATTCACAGTTGCTTGTTCTATTCCATCTAAATAGCAGAGAGCTAATGGCAATATTCTGAATAGACATTATAGATCTGATGTTGCTGTGTTTTGTGTTGATCAGATTTAGGCCTCAGATTGATGAGCCCAGCCTGGCTAAAGAGGATGTGGATCTGAGTGCACGACCTGAGAGAAAGAGCCTCTTCAAGGGGAAAACTTTTCTGTTTTTGAACTCAAAACAGGCAAGAGAGATTTTTTTAAATTACTACTAAAATGATAATTTATTTATACCATCACTTTACATTAACATTAGGACAGACTCCACCTCTTTTAAAAACACTTCTACAGCTGCTTATCATGACTGTCACTCCCATTCAAAGTTTTTTGTTTAGTAGCAAAGCAATAACTGGGCAAAGATTTCTTATTTAAAATAAATGCTGTTTTTTGAAGTTTATAGTCATCAAGTAATCCTGAAAAAAATGCATCTTGGTGTCCACAAAATATTATGCAGCACAACTGTTTTCAATATTGATAATAATAAATGATTCCTGAGCACCAAATCCGCAAATTAGAATGATTTCTGAAGGATCATGTGAAACTGAAGACTGGAGTAATGATGCTGAAAATATAGCTTTGCCATCACAGGAATAAATTAAGTTTTAAAAATATATAAAAATAGAAAACGGGTGTTTTAAATTGTAATAATATTTCACAGTACTATTGTTTTTACTTATTTTTTTTATCCAATGAATGCAGCCTTTGTGAGCATAAGAGACTTCAAAAACATTAAAAAAAAAACGTTCCGACCCCATATTTTTATAATGTATAATGTAAATATAAATTATAAAACCTAGATATATAGTACAATACATAGAACACACCACATACAATAAATACAGGAATATGCAAAATAGTTATATTATAATGTTGCTTAATTTTCATGAAAAAATCTTAATGGTCCCAAAATAGGCTTTATCTTGGTTTTGTTTTGTTTTAGAATGAAATCCTAAGGCATACTGTCTTCTAGAGCAGGATGTATAAGCTGGTTTGTCTGTTGGCAGCGCACTAGGATGTGGTCTATTCCACTAAATATGAGGCCAAAGGATTGTGATATTGTTCTCTTACTTTCATATTCCTTATCACGTCACATGGCCAGTTACTATATAAGAAAAAGATGTTACCTTTGAACCAAATCTGTGCAGAAGTTTTTTTTTTCAGCCCACCCACAAACTGCTGCAGCTGGGTGTCATTTAGTCTCCACCACCAGACTCTAAGACATCTTCATCTTTGTTGACTTGAGAAAAGACTCCTTTATTTGCCCTGCAATATTATCAGTTACAGGCACTCTGACCTTTCTTACCTATTTCATGTATTCTTTAAGTTTGATCTTTTCCTGAGAAGTGAAAGTTGGGCATGGCATCAGGTCTTTATTCATTAGGCTGTTATATACAGTGAAACAGTTGTATGTCACATAGGAGCTCCTCCATGCTGTTTTATATTAATCAGGAGGTGTAAAACAGTCTAATTAGCTCAGAGGAAGAGCAGACCATGAGAAGTTGAACAGCTGGGATATTCTCTGTAACCAGCAGGCTCATTTGTGAGTGAATAACTGCTGATAGAAGCTACAGCAGAGCAAGGAGGTCACATGGTCATTTTCTTTCTTGTGATTTATTGGGAAAAGGTTTTTAATCTCTAAAGGCCCAGGAAAAAAAAAGAGGTTTTCTAAAAGTGTTTTGTGTGTGTGTGTTTTTGGAGTGTTTGGTTGTTAGTACATCAAATTAATCTTGTTTTAGTTTAAATTTAAGTTTTTCATCTATCTAATAACCTTTTTTGTTTGCTTGTTTGAAACATAAAAACCATTAATTTTTGATTTAAAACAAAACAAAACAAAAAAAAAGAAAGTAAGAAATAAAAGCCATACTGTACAGACAAAAATAATTTGTTTGTCTCTGGATAATGATGGATGAGCACATATTTCCTATAGATGTATTTCTTATTAAAACAGGATGCTTGAGTGGGACAAATTGAAAGGCTCATCCCATTTTTTCTTTCTTTTTAATAGCCAGTAGGCTTCAGTTACTTCAATTTAGAAACTCGCAGTTTCATTTTCTATCATGCTGAATATTGTAATTAGGTTAAAGAAAGATTTAGAAAATCACTATAATCCGAGCTGAATTATAATCAGAGTTTTATTGTTGTAATCACTGATGTTTTATGCATCTTTTCAGATGAAGCGTTTGAGTCAGGCGGTGAGTTGTGGAGGTGGGGTGAGCCAGCTTTTGGACGAGGGCTCTCTGCCCATTTCACTCTTGGAGTCAGGCAGCACCTGTGTGGTCGACATGACATCGGGGAACTCCCAGGCTCTGATCCCTCCAACCTTCAAGAAGTGGGAGGATTCTGTGGCCCAGATTCTGCACAGGTGTGTGTGTATTTTTGCTCATGCCCAGTATTTTCTGTCAATTCAGACAACTATACTGATTGTTCTGAATATTGAGTAATACAGTGAAGCTGGTGTTTAGTTTGTGCATATAGTCAGGTCTTAAATTGGGCCAGAGCAGTCCGAAACAGTACTCCACTAACTTTATAAAAAAAAAAAAAAAAATGTTTGTTTGATGATTGATTGATTCCATTTTGTATACGAATGTGTTCAGGTTTTGTTTGTGGCAGAACACACATTCCTGCTTCATTAGTACAAAAATGTCTATTTCTTAAAAATAATGAAATGTATATTATTAAATAGAATTAACTATATATTTAGTATAAAATGTACACACGTGTAATTTTGCATTATATTATGGAAAATATATTTAATGTTTTGCTTATGTTTTGTTTTAGAGCTATCTGAATATTACTGCAGGAATCAATAAATTCCTTTTTTTGGTCGATTCCTGTCTCTCTAATGTTTTCTCTTTTTCACACAGAAACGGCTTGCGCTTTATCACTGAATCTGAGATTGGATTGGCTGCCATTCATGTCAATAATAAAACATACTGCAATCCCTGCTGTTCTATGCAATCTGGTGGGTTTACATACACTTGCATAAACATCCGGTGTAGATGGACTGTTCTAGGTCATTACTCATTCTTAGTGCGTTCAGTGTTAATGAGTGCATAACGAGTAATATGATGACTATTCACATGATGACTGATTGTACATTTTTTAAACTGTGTTTTAAGTGTCCTTATTGATCCTTACATGGCAGTGACTCGAGTGTCGAGAAATAGGTTTCCTGACCGACGTGTGAACAACTCGACACATGAATAATTTCTCAACACTTCCTCACAGAATCGGTGAAAGTGAAACCAGTCATTGCTGCAGCAACACTTTCTCAGAACACTGCTGTAGATGAGACGGCACTCGCGGCACCTTCCCAGAATATCACAGCCTATGTGCTCAACACTGAACTCTCTCAGGACCAGAGCAGGTAGAAATCTGTGCACTGAATCTTACAGAATACCTTTCTTAGGTAGTGGACATCTTCAACAACAACAACAAAAAATAAGAATAAATTGGAAAACCTATAATCTCCATACAACTACCTCAAAACAGCAATCTCACTTTTAGTGTTCAAAAGTGTCCTAGTTTATATTCTATCATTTAAAATAGTTGTATTTTTATTGGTATAATTTTATCAGAGTGTTTTGTGTTTTGAAATGAACTAGACTGCTACTTTTAGTTATATTTCTGATATATATCTCTGTGTTATGTATTTGGAAGTGAGACAACAGAAACACTTTTGCAATGAGTAGAGTAATCCATCAGTTCAGTGTTGTTGTTTTTTTAAGCCAATCAATTCACAAACCACTCTGCTGATTTACAGCATTTCTTCTACATATAGTGATAATCAGTAGTGCCAATAGTCATTGTTCACATTTGCAGGGTGGTTACAAGTGGGATCAATACAGTTGGTGAGATTCCAGAGAAGACACTCCCCAAACACAAGGGCTCCACACTGTCAGTGGCAAACAAACCCTCATCCCTCGGCCCAGAACCTTCCACCACTCGCATTGTCAATGAGACAGTGATGTCATCTGAAAGCTTCAGCGTGGTTGAACCTGAGCAGAGGATGAAGAAAAGTTCTGCTTCCTCTGGCAGGGGGCGAGTTGAACCTGAAGGTTCTGTGAAATTGACTGCACCTCCAAATGCCAGCACCACACTAAAACGGTCTCCCCAGAAACAGACAGCCCTCACAAACTTCTTCCAGCCTGCCGGCAAGAAAAGGCGAGTGTAATGCCACACTACATCACGTAGGCTTTTTAAAATAGCTGTTTTCTATTTTTATATATTTTAAAATGTAATGTATTCCTGTAAAGGCAAATCAGAATTTTCTGCAGCCATTACTCCGGTCTTCATGATCCTTCAGAAATCAATCTAATATGCTGATTTGGTGCTCAAGAAATATTTCTTATTATCACTGTTGAAACAGTTACATATTTCTGTGATAATGTTTTTCCCCCTTGGGAGACTGGAATTCTTGAATGTTTAAAAGATTATTTTGTAACATTTAATAATGTCTTTACTGACATCCTTAATGCATCCTTGGTGAATAAAAATATTTTATTATATATATTTTTTAAATATAATCTTACTGAGCCCAAACTTTTAACCAGTAGTGTAAGTTACGTGAAGCACACACATCTGAAGTTGATACAGCTGCTTGAGTAGAATAAGTGTTTGTAGTGAGATTTAAAATTAATAGTTTTATTTATTCAAAATTTTCCGTCACTTTTTTTTATATTACTTTATTAATATGAATATATAATGACACTGAAAAGTGACATACAAAATGATGTATATATAGTTATGAAATCAAGTAAAATCTAAATAAATGCTAATGTGTCTCAGCTGACCACTTGTGTATGGAAGCATATACAGTGGTGTGAAATTACAAACATTACAATAATGATGTTTTATACCTAAAATAATACTCAATCATTTCCTGCATACTGCTGTACTTCCCTGAATAAGTCTTTAAAGGTGTTGTAGGCTAATAAGTCGTTCTGAGTAATAAGTTTAAAAAGCTCCCACCTGTATATGACTAAACAAAATAACATGTAGTTTACTTGAGGTTCTGCTATAAATGTGTCTATTAAAAACATTCATTCAAATTAATTAATTATACAAAAAATTGTTTGAAATTAATTGAGACTTCCCGAGTTTTTGAACGGAAGTCCTGCATGACTGTTATTAAAGGTCATTTAATGAATATGAATGATTTTCAATGCCCCGCAGAAACCCTGCCTTTGTTGGAAAAGTAAATAAATAATTTGAATTATGTTTGCTTATGTTATAACACTTTTCAGTTACAATATTTCATATTACAGTAAATGTATATATTTAAACATAGGCCTATACATATATTTACAACAGATGTTGCAAATTTAAAGATGGTTTTGATAAATCACATTCAATTAATGTGAATATCTAGTCAGGGTTCTCAGTCCCGCTCCTGGAGGGCCAATGCAGACGCTGACGTCACGTGGGTCACCCGCAGTGTAAGACGCTCAAAGCTCAAGACGTTCGGTTACGTTCGGTCGTTCGAACGTTTGATTTTTATGGCGTTCAGACGGGATCTTTAATATGACGCTGCAACATGCACTCGTCTCACTGAACGTGACGTCTGCGTCTGCCGAATAAGCTGACACTTTGTTTTATACTAAGTATTGCTTTGTTCCGCAATGTATTTTCACTGTATGGCATGTGACTTGTCGGACATAGCAAAAGTAGGCTTTGTTTTTGCGAAAGGTCAGTTGTCATTTGTGGACAACTTATTTACAGATGAGGGGAAACCAAAGAGTGTTTAGCACCTGCAGGAAAAGCAGGGAATCATGTATGAACATTTATTGAAATTGTTCTAAAAAATATTTTTTTTTAAATGTAAACGAATGCATTACAAACAGTGTGTAAATGCATCTAAATGCCTCTTCAGATGCAGCTTCTGTGTTTCCTCTGTATTGCAAAGATGAATTTTGATACTGATATCATTTGTTTGGTAACAGACCAAATGTCTTTTATTCTAATTGACTGATTAAATGTAAGAATTTGACTCAAAAGATGACGCACACTTTTAGAAAAAAAAGGCTTTATAAAGGTAAAAATGCCCATAAAATGTAAAAATCAATTTAAACTTATTGGAA